CCAAAAAAATCCTAAAAATCTCCTAAGAATTCTAAACTGCATCTAAATACTATTTTTACTTCTCTTTCACCTTTCTTTTCTGTCGTCTGTGTGTCATTGGGTTCTATTTTAACATCTATTTATAGGGATTGATCAGAAGAGTTTCTGATCAATCTCAATTCCCTTTGGGACTAGGATTCATTCTTTGAATCCAATCCAAATTCTTTCAACCCCTTAATTCACGGCAGAAAACTCCTTCTAGAACTGAAAATTATGTATATAAGATGATAATTAAAATAAAATTCAGAACAAATAAATAAAAAATAGATAAATATAAAAAATATACATTAATAGATAAATAATAAAAAATAATATTAATGGATAACTAATAAAATATATATTATTAGATAATATATATATAAATAATAAAAATAAAAATAATAAACTAAAAATAAAATGGGTCATTTTGTCCCATTTGGATCAAATCCAATTGATTCGGGCTTGGATCAAATTGGGTGTCTACAGATAACTTAATAATAAATTAGTGATAACAGTAAATCAGCTTTAATTTAATAATAATTAATTAATAAATTTAGTAGTAAATTATAAATAACTTATTAGTAAATTAATGATAATTTAGTAGTTAATCATTTGAAAATTTAAAATGAAATTAATGATAACTTAATAGTAAATCATATATAATTTAGTATAAATTAATGATAACTTGATAATAAATTATTGTTAATTTAATAATAAATCTATGTTAATTTTGTAGTAAATAATCAAAAATTAAGTAGTAAATCAATGATAACATAATAGTAAATACATAATAATATAATAGTAAATTATTGATAATTTAGATGTAAATTATTAATAACTTAATGGTAAGTTATTAATAATTTAATTGTAAATAAGAGATAATTTAATAACAAATTAGTTAATTATTGATAACTTTGTAGTAAATTATTGATAAATTAATAGTAAATCAATTATAATTTTATAACAAATAATCAGTAACTTAGTAATAAATTATCAACAATTTAGTAGTCAATCAGTTATAACTTGTAGTATTTTATTGATAGTTTAGTAGTAAATCGTCGATAACATAATAATAAAATAATGATAATTATCAATTATTGATAATTTTTTTAAAAAAATTTGAAGTTATCAGGAATTGAATCTTGGTTACTAACAGAAATTGAGCTAAAAATTTTATCTTCAAAAACTAGGATAAACCTAGCATCAACCTATTTAATAAAAAAATTTAATGAAAATTTTCTAAATTTGAATAAAAACAATAATGTTATTGTATAAAAAGAAAATTATCTTATACTAAAATTGAATCATTGCTTTCCTACATGAATTCATTGTTAAATATATGATGACACAAATTTTGTCAATAATTATTAAAAAGTATATCATAAGTTATCAAAAGATTACTAAAATTATATCAAAAGGGTACTAAAATTTTATCAGAAATTACCAAAATTATAATATAAGTTATCAATATTATATCGAAGGTTATCAAAATTTTATGAAAACTATCAAAATCAAAATTATATAAAAACATTATAAAATTTTACTTATATTATACTAAAATTAAAATTAAATTATTAGTATCTATCATTATTATCATAGTATCAAAAAAATTATTTATTGAAATAAAATGTTAAAGATAAGAATTACACATATATCATGCACATGCCAAAAACTAGTTTATAAATATATAACTAAGCATTTATTCCCTAAATCATTTTTGTTGTAATTAATTTATTTTATTTCACTATTTTCATTACAAATCTAAATAAAAAATTTAATTGATAATGGTTCAAATAAATTATTATTTTTTATTTTAATAAATTGATGATGATATTTAAATTAATATTTTTTATTTTTGAAATTCACAATTTTACATAAAATAGAATTTTGGAATTCACATCAAGAACTATATATTTATTGAGGGTAATAACTCTCATATTGCTATAAATGCATATGCCTCAAGACCCAAGATTGAACTACCCAATTTTGATGAACATAACCATAGAGGGTAGGTCAAGAAATGTCAAAAGTATTTTGTTATTTTTTCCATTTCAGACTATCAAAAATTAAAAGTGGCAGCATTGTAATTGTCAAGGAAGGTAGAAATCTGGTTACATTATGCAAAAAATTAATAGACAAATACATACATACATACATATATATATATATATATATATTCTCTGAACATAATTTTTTTTCAAATAGTTAAAGTGACCGTTAAATGAATTGGAGAAAAGTCGGATCTGTCAACCAAGTTATGTGTTGATTGTGTAAGGAAGAACAACTAAGTGGTAACTTGTAATTCCATGTTGAAATTAACTTGGATAAGTTAGCTTAACGTATACGCAGGTGCATTAGGCACGAGTCTTAATTCGTGTATAGACTTGATATGAGTTAGGAGTTGGCTGGATACAAAGAGGAGGCTCAATTGTCAAAATGATCAATTAGATTTTTCCCACTGCCAATGTGAATTTGTAGAAATATTAATTGTTGTTTATGAAGGAAATCCATGAAGGAATTTGACTTGATCACGTTTTACTTTGATACGAGAAACCACAAAGTACATGAATTTACCAAGTTTAGCTTCAAGTTAATTTCATCGAGTAAGTACAAATCTTTTATATATATATATATATATATATATATATTATATTTAAAATTGCCAGGAATTGGATTGGATCCTGATTATTGAAATTTAAAAAATTAATATTTGGTTTCAAAAAATAAAACCATTTTTTGTTTACCAAACACATTTTCACTAATATTTTTCATTTTATAAATAAAACAAATTTTTAGAAATTAAAAATGAAAATAGGTTGAAATATATAAACAAAAAAATATTTTCAATTGAGAAAATAAAAGATGTACATTATTTTTTTCTTGTATTTTGCAAGTAATTATATTTGAATACTTTTTAATGTCATTAATTAATAAATATATATTATATTTATAATTAGATGCCATTAATAGTAATATTATTGAATATTTTATTTATTTTTTATTTTTGCATTTTTAAAAAATAATTCTTATTTTTGCCTACCAAATATATTTTTTACAAAACAAAAATTAAAAATATTTTCTAAAAAATAAAAAAAATATTTTCTCAAACTAAACGTATTCTATTAATAAATTTTACAACTGTTGATTTTGTCATATATTTATTTAGTGTATAATTACATGTAGTTAAAGTAGAATTCAAGTTATATTATAAAATAATTATAAAAAGTAAAGACATGAAGAGCATAAAGGCATTGCACTGCATGATTTATGTAGGCTCTGTTTATTTCACAAAAAATAACTTCAAGATAATTTTTGAAAATTATTTATATTTTCTAAATTGAAAGAGATTTTTTATTATTTGGATGAGTTAATGAAAAATATTTTCTATTGTTTGGTTATTTTTTGAGAAATCTATTTTTTCAAATATTATTAATATAATTATTAAAATATTAAAAATTATTTATTATTAAAATATATTGAAATTATTTATTATTAAAATTATTAATGTTCTAAAATAATTATATTTTAAAAATAATATTTAATATTAAAATATTATGTTAATATAAAAAATACTTAAAATAAAACTATTTATTATTCTTTATATTATTTATTAATAATATTTATTAATATATTATATTAATAGTATGTTATTTATTAATGATATATTATTTGTTCATGTATTATTATAATATTTATTAATTAAATTAATAATATTTATTATTATATTATTTATTAATATATTATAATATTATTTCTTAATATTATTTATTAATATCTTATATTAATAGTATATTATGTATTAATAATATATTATTTATTAATATTAATATATTAGTATATATTTATTTATAATAGTATTTATTAATATATAATAATATTGTTTATTAATATAATATTATTTATGAATATATTATAATATTATTTATTAATATATTATAATATTATTTATCAATATATTATATTAATAGTATATTATTTATATAATATTATATTAATATAATATTATTTATTAAGTAAAATTATTTTAAAAAATATTAATAAATAGTTAAATTCATAGATAATTTTGTTCGAAAAATATCTTCTTTTTTTCAAATTCATAAGATAATTTTCAAAAAGATGATCTCATTTTTTATTGACCAATAAGTTTTTTTTTAATTATCAATTAATTTTTTTATCAAATAAATACTTATAAATATAAAAATCAATTTTTGAAAATTATTTTTCGTGAAATAGAGTCGTAATTTGATCAAATAGTTTTTTTTTTCTAACAATTTGATAAAACAGCTGAATCCAAGGAAAAGTTTTATGGTTCAAAATAAAACTTTGATTGCGTGTACGATCACCATGAAAATCACTAGCTAGGTGCCATTTGAATATGCTATATTTTCCTCTCTTGTGGCCCTACAAGTTACAAAAATCTTTCTAAATATTTTGTTTTTATTTAAAATTCAAAATCTCATACCTTCAAATGCGTTGGTATTTTTCTAAACGTAGACAATCACGTTGATAAATTTCACCTTATCTGTTTTTTTTTGAAACGTTGAAAATTAAATCAATTAAATTTAATATTATCATATGCGTCAATTAAATGTTTTATTATTTACTTTGTCTAAATAGAAATAGGTATTTTTTAAAAAATTTATCTCATTCTCATATTTCATGGTAAATTTTTAGATTTCGTTAACAGAAATAAAGGAAAAATTAAACTAATAAGTACTTTCATATTATATTACATGGTTCCGCGAAAAGCATAAAACCGTTATTCTGTATGTAAAATCATTACTTTTCAGAGTTTTAGATTGTTGTCTTTCTTCTTGTTGAAAAGCTTGGTACATGCTAATATAACGGTCCAACTCGGCATTGAAGATTATGTTGGTTTTGAAAATTCTTATCCACGTAATGGTCCTTTGCTGCAAGAACTTAAGCACTTCAAGCCTTGCTTAACTCTATAAATACCTGCTTCTGCGTACCACAGCTTCACCATTCACATCAAATAACAAAGAAAGCAATTAATCAGTTAATTGTTAAGCAATGTCGAAGCTTTACTTGGTCTTTGCCCTTTCCTTGGCCATGCTTGTTTCAGGTAATAAACAAACCCTTTTATTATTCCTTTTTCTCTAGTCCCTCGCGCCATTTTGTTGACAAGATTTTCAAGCTTATCAAATTTATGGAATTGGTTTTACATTTTTATTTCCAAATTTTTTTTTAACTTTTTGGCTCATGTATTTTTAACATTTTGTTCTTCGATCTAAACAATTTTGCATGTATTGTATATATGCAGGGGCTCACATGGCAACCCTCAATATCAGAAACAACTGTCCATTTACTATCTGGCCAGGAACCCTTACTAGTGGTGGTGGATCTCAATTGCCAAACACTGGATTCGAGTTAGCCCCCCAAGGATCAAATTCCATTAACGTTCCAGCTCCATGGACAGGCAGGCTTTGGGCTCGAACACAATGCTCAAGCTCATCCGGAAGATTCACTTGTGCCACAGCAGACTGTGGCTCTGGCCAGGTTGGCTGCAATGGAGCAGGTGCAGCCCCTCCAGCAACCCTTGCAGAGTTCACTCTAGCAGCAAATGGAGGACAAGATTTCTATGATGTCAGCCTGGTAGATGGCTTTAACTTGCCAGTTTCAATAACCCCACAAGGCGGTTCTGGTCCAACCTGCACCACGACTAGCTGTGCGGCAAATGTGAATTCAGTTTGCCCATCAGAGCTAGCTGTTAGAGGATCTGATGGGAATATCATAGCCTGCAAAAGTGCATGTGTGGCTTTCAATCAACCTCAGTATTGTTGCACTGGTGAATATGATTCACCCCAAACATGTCAACCAACAAACTACTCCATGATCTTCAAGAATCAGTGCCCTCAGGCTTATAGTTATGCTTATGATGATCAATCTAGCACTTTCTCCTGCACTGGTGGACCTAATTACCTCATCACTTTCTGTCCATGAGGGCTTACAAGCAGGAAGCGGCTCTATTGCTTTGCATACTTATGATTCTAGAATTTAAAAGGAAAAAAAAAAGAAAACCACTACTGTTGGTTATTATCAAATAAACAGACATAAAAACCTTCTTGGTTTTAATTTTATGTCAATACGATAGAACGTTAAATAAATTTAACATTGCAAATAGTATTTGTTTGCAGCCTGTTGCAAGCTTACAATTATATCTAATAAATCATATTCTCCCCAAGCAAGAACCAATCTTTTTTGTTTTGAAATTATGTTTGTATCGGTAATTGTCATAGAATTAGAAAGGTAACTAAATACAATGTAATTAATTTTTGGAAAAAAAAAAACTATGTGATTAGCATTCTAAGCAATAGTTACTTGTGATTTTAATTTATTATTAGAAGAAAACCTGCACTCCACTACGAGCATGATTGATCATTGTAAAGCAAGTGATATTTTAATTTAAAAAACAAATTTTTTTTTTTAATAATCATCTTTAATTAAATTTTATTAAAAATGAATCATTAAAACCAATACATAAAAAAAAGTTTACTATTCATAATTTCATGAGAGCATATCATTAATCATTAAATCATTATAAAAAAATTGTATCATTATCATGAGAGCATATCATTATAAAAAAAAAATTCATTAAATACATGTAAGTACATATATATTGTAAGTTTGAGTAGCAAACATTGAATATAATGATATATGCCTGATTTTAGTTGAGTAGTCTTTAGAATGTTCAAATCAAGATAGACTTTTGTTGCTGATGATGAGATAACGTATAAAACACCTGAAATGTGTAAAAAACCTATAATTGTAAGTACATATATAATGTAAGTTTGAGCAGCAAACGTTGAATATAATGATACATGCCTGATTTTAGTTGAGTAGTCTTTAGAATGTTCAAATCAAGATAGACTTTTGTTGCTGATGATGAGATAACGTATAAAACACCTGAAATGTGTAAAACACCTATAATAAATTTTGAGTTTTGTATAGTATGTTCAAAATTAATAGTAAAAGATTATATTTTACGTGTAAAGTAACTAGAGAATAAGAATCATTTACGCAAGACAGTCAGAGAAAATGAATATTGGAATTTTCAAGATATCTTGATTTATTAAATCTTGCTCTTTGATATGAGAAAACATAGCGAGAAAAAATGATAATAAGTTTGCATATATCATTGTCGAACTTGTCAAAGTTTGAAATTTCAATGCCACCATCAATCCTTGGAAGCTATATCAATCACTTTCTATACAACGAAGAGAAACCCAAAGTGTGGGTAAATATTAACTAGGATCTTTCTCATTCTTATCGACTCATAGCTTTCCCATGCAAGGAATCTTAAGTTCTACACAAAGAGTCTTTCATGAATTAAGGCGGTTTGCTGGAAGAATTTGGCCTTCATCGAGAAGATATCTCTTCAGGAACGACTTTGACTTTGGCGTCAAACTTATTGAATGTACATGTTAATTTATTTAAATCTGTCTTCATATTTCATTTTAAATATCTCATTGATTTTGTTCTTCTCCAAGTTTTTGGACTCGTTGAAAAAAAATCTTTTTAAACCTATCTTTCATACATTTTCTGTCAAAAATATACATACCTTTAAGTTTTATTAATGAATAATCAATTTGCTGTGGTAATTAAATTTGATATATAGATAAATCAATTATCTTGTATATGTACCTTTGTATAAGCTCTATTAAATTATATATTAAATTTTAACATAATATAAAATTAATCACATATTAAATTATTAATATACCATTGCCAATGCTTTATAAAAAATTGACATGTGACTTTTTATTTAAAAATGACTATAATAACCATATTAAATTTCATATGAAATTTTAACATAATATAAAATTAGTTACATATTATATTATTAAAATACCCTTGCCATTTCTTCATAAATATTTAATATGTGGAATTTTATTTAAAATTTACTATAATGCCCCTATTAAATTACTTATTGAATGTTAGATAACATATATTAAAATAATTCCTATAAAAATTACTATAACGCCTTTGTTTATTTAATATAATGTTGACATGTATTCAAATTGACTATAATGCCTTTTACATAATTACGAAAATATTCATCTTTTTATAATTAATTAAAATTATTATAATATCATCTTATCATAATTATAGAAAGGTCTCTTCTACTATAATTGATCAAAATTATTATAATACCCTTCATACTATACTTACAAAAAAGCCTTTACACTATAATTGATCAAAATTATTATAATACCCCTTATATCATAATTACATAAATATCCTTATAAGTGTTTCATAGGAAGTTGACATGTGTCATTTTATTTCAAAATTATTATAATATTTTTTATTAAATTACACATTAAATTTTAACATAATATAAAATTAACTATATATTAAATTATTAAAATATCTTTATCATTGATTTATAAAATTAAACATGTGATATAAAATAGTCAAAACTATATGATCAAATGAGATAGATAATTATAATTTTTATTTTAAAATAAAATATTTAATTCCTAATGTAGTAGGGACCGCACACTAATTTAGATTAAAAAAAAGGATGAAATATATCATTATTTATAACCTATTGAAGTGGCAAAAAATTAGTCATTCGAATACGTATTTTCTTCAAGTTAACTAACTAGTAAAAGTGCGGAAGGACTGCAGCCAATACTTTACACCCTTCGACGTGATTTATACAAACTTGTAACCAACCTAGAAATGCAAACGCTAGGCTTGTCCCGTCAAATTTTCAGTTGTATAATTACAACAATGGCTGAAACCCAACTTAAATTACATTCACAAGAAATAATACAAATTATTAACATCGATTTGATGCTTCAAAATCCACTCTGCATTTTTGAAACATCTCATCTACTCGTAATTTTAAAATTGTGAAACTTCTGCTTAGTTTTTCAATATGACATTTTTAAAGTTGTCGAGTCTTTGTATAAATGAGTATTTTGAGATAATATTTATTTTCAAAAGTTATAGAGCCTTTAATAAAATAAGCTTTTAGATTTGTTTTTAAAAGTTGTGGAATCTCTAATGAAAAAAGATTTAGAGTTTCTAATGAGAGGAGTTTTTCAATAATTCAAAAAATTCAAAAAAAATCTAAAAAATTAAAATTTCAAGAAAATCCTAAAAAAGGTTTATAAAATTCTAAAAATAAAAAAAATTGAAAGAATTTATATTTAGATTTTATTTAATGATTTATTTTGGTAAAAAAAAAAGTTCAAAGTCAAGAAATGAAAAAAAATCATGTGAAATTGTCAATTGACAGAAAATTTAGGATTCAGTTTGGATTCAACCTCAAATCTTAAATTAGTTGATTAAATAATTTTGGAAGAACTTAATTCCCAATTAATGAAGAAAAAGGAAAGATTACATAGAAAATAACTTTTATGAATCTTAAAGATCTTGGATTTTCTAGTTGAATTGGGATTTCAATCTCTATATAAAAACCTAGTAAGACACATAGAAAAAAGCATACAAAACTTTTACAAAGAAAATACAAAAATCAATTGAAAAGCAATAAAAAATTTCAGCAATCATAATTTTCTAGATTTAGTTTTTAGTTCTGGTAATGCTTGATTTTGATTTCTAGGTTCTGGGTGTTCTTAGATTTGCTTGGAATTAAATTTTATTTTTGGGTTTTAATTGATTCTGGGGGATTGTTAGAGTTTGCTGGAAATTTGTGTTTTGATTCTTGATTTTTGGAATTTTGGATTTCTAAAAGGTTGAATTTTCAGACGGTATTTGAAGTTTCAGGTGAGATGCTAGCAAAAATTCCATATTCTAGCATGCTTTCTAGAATCCGGTGGCTTATGTTTATCTACTGTAGAAAGAGAAAACAAAAAAAAAGTAGAGAGAGAAGGGGGTAAAAGAATTTTGAGAAAATAAAAGATTTTTAGCATTTTATACTAGTACAAAATTTGCGCTATTTCAACCATTATTCAATTTGAAAGATCCATGTGTTGCCCTGAAAATTGACCTGACTTGCTCGCACGACCCCTGACCCACTTCTTATCAACCTTTGAAGTTGAGCCATTAAATCAGCCAAGCCATCAAGTTGAATTGTCCTTTTTTGTCTGTAGCTGAGCTTTTTCAAGCCGTTGAAGCCTAGTCAAGCCATACAATCTATTTTCGTAAAATTTTTTATTTCTTTATTGTTATAATGTTTAGATTTATAGACTTATCCCTAGATATTACTTAGAGAGTTGTCATTAATCTTTTTTGTTTAGGTACGATTGGTTACCTAATTGAATCGATCTCGTTTTAAAAAAAAATCTTAAACTTGACTTAAGTATCTTTAAAAAATAGATTCAATGTTTACAAAATAAGAATTAGGTTCGGGAGTATTGTTACGTATAAAAAAAGTTATAACATTACAATGCCCATTAAATAATGGTACCAATTTGATTCATCTTATCCATTAAGCCTTAAAAAAAATTACCAAATAGTTAATTATTAAAAATTATTTTTAATTAATTCCAATACTTTTAACAAAAAATTAAGAGAATTCCCTTACCTTAAGAGTATGCAAGAAAACTATTATTTTTCTTACAGAGACTCCATCTTTGGATAATTTAATATTTATTTAATTTTTTTATGAAATTCTTAAAAAATTTTAATTTCAAGAAAAAATTGATACTTTAACTTTTTCCTTAAATTCTTGAAAATTTTCATTTAAAAAAAAATTGATATTTCAACTTTTTCCTCAAATCTTTTTGAAATTATTTTTGTTTTAAGAAAAATTGATAATTACATTTTTTCTTAAACATTTTTTGAAATATTTTTTATTTTAGAAAAATTGATAATTCAACTTTTCCTTAAAACATTATTTGAAATATTTTTTAACAAAGATTAATATTTCAATTTTTCCTAAAATATTTTTTTTGCAATATTTCTTATTTAAGGAAAATTTATACTTCAATTTTTACTCAAAACATTTTTTTGGAATATTTTTATTTAAAAAAATTGATACTTTAACTTTTTCTCAAAACATTTTTTTGAAATATTTTTTTATTTAATGAAAATTAATACTTCAACTTTCCCTCAAATATTTTTTTGAAATAATTTTTATTAAGGAAAAATTAGTATTCCAAAATTCATCATTTTTTGGAAATATTTTATTTATATATATATATATTTAAAAATCACTCAAAAGAAATAATAAAATAATAAATAATAAACAAAATAACAAAAAAAAAAAAATACCACAAACAAATTTTGGCTCGGCTTAAAAAACTTGTCGCAACTTGGCTTAAAAAACAAAGTTTGGCTCGG